AACGGGGACCCTCCCTGCACAAAGTTTAGATAGCTGTTTCAATTGTTCATTATGAATGATGGCAATGGGTAAGGCCATTTTGAAAGAAGCAATAGCCTCCTCAATCATTGCCCAAATTGGCTTGGCACCACTTCCAGTCCGCACCACTGTTAAAACTCTTTGGGCTTGTGGGAAATGATAGGGCACTTCCACATCTTTATCGGCATACTGCCTAATTGAAAGCAGGTACTTTAGCTCCTTAATTCGGTTTCCGTAATCTCGGGCTCTCTCTGCTTGATCAGAAGAAATTCTACAGAGGTCCTCGCCCGAGTTAAAGATGAATTTTTTCTTTTTTTTTTCCTTTCCTGTTTGAGAGGGGCTTCGTTCCCGCTTGGAGGGGGGAGGAGGCATTTCAGATTTTTTTTTTGACGGGGAAGGGCTAGGAGTGTGCGAGGGGTTTTAACAGGAGAAGGGCTGGGAGTGTGAAGAAGGGGTGTAAAACGATCTATGTTTATATGGGCTGGGATCTCTACTGAGAGGACGGGCTTTTTGTTGGTGAAGATTGAGGGAAGGCTTACTTTTGGTTGAAGATGTGGACGGGGCAGAGGACGAGGAAGGAGGGATTTGAGTTGGTTTTAGCTTGGTGTCCAACTTTCTTTTCAGCTCTTTAATTTTTTCAAATTTTTCAAATCCTGGGTCGAATTTTTTTGCGTTTATCTTGTAGAGAGGCCGGAGCATCGCCCTTGACGTTGCCAGATGGAGGGGCTGTCCGTGTCTTTGGCCCTCAGGGCATCAGGGGACTGAGGGCCCGCTGTCCGGATCTTCCTCTGGCCTTACCAGCCAGCCATTCCCCCTCCCTTCTCCACAACTGCACTAGCAGCGGGCGAAGGCTCTTTGGGGAATGAGGTCTTTGATGTAATCTCAACCGGTGGTTTAACCGACCCGGTCCCGGAAGCTGGTACGCCCATTACAGGCGAGGCGGAAGTTACAGACGCGGTCAGAGGGGGATCTTGGTTAACTGGAGCTTGACCACCAGAGGCTTCTTCTCTGGGCAGGAGGAGGAGAGATGACCAGTCACTCCGCACCTCCAGCATACCGGTCTTCGGCCTGTTACTATGACCGGTAATTTCAAGCCTCCAACATCCAGACAGTTGGGGATGGAGCGGAAGGCTTTCTCATCCAACATGATGTCAAAGCTCCACCCCCCGCTCAGGCTATCACATGAGGCGCCCAGAATTTCGCCGTACTGGGAAAAGAAAGCCGCGAGATGCTCACCGATACCCTGAGGAGGGACCTCATATACTGTTAACCTGGTCCTTCTGCGGCCTTCGTACTCTGTGCGCAGGATAAGGTCTTTTGTAATTAGCTCCCGGCTCGCCGCAGCTACGCAATCTTCTGCTGTGGGTAACAGTACGTCCCACATGAAAAACTTAGCGCCCTTAACTATTCTTAGGGGCTTAAACCCCAAGGACTCTAGTGATTTTAACACTATGTTTTTCGTCGAGCGACAAATTTTGCGCGTACGCTTGTCGACGACGAAAACTGACACAATTCGTTTCTCAATCTTCTTCAATTCCTGGGGGTCTTCTAAGAGTCCACCTTCTACGACAAGGTGAGCGTAACTCTTAGCACGCTCCAAGAACTCCGCAAGATTGATGATACATTTCGGTGGGGACGACCAACAAGAGGGCGATTCCCCGGCCTCTGCATTCGTAGATGTGTTGTCCTTTTCTTGGTTATTGCTCTTTTCAGCCTCCATATTTTCGGAGGCTTTTCTTAAAGTGTCTACAATTTCCTCATTTGTAGGAACTCTGGGCAGGTCCGGGTATTCCTCCTTATTATTTTTGTCCGGGGGGTCTTTCTTGGGATTAAAGAGGTGTTTCCTCATATTTCTTTTGAAAGAAGCAATTTTAGGCTTCTTTTTCATAATTAAGAATGAAGGCACTTTTTTTTCCTTCTTATCCATTTTTTTAAACAGCGAAGGGGAGGGGAAAGGGGGAGGGGTGGGAAATAAATTTATGGGCAAGAGGAAAAGAAATAAATTAACTAAACAAACTCAACAAAATAATTATGCACACCAAAAAACAATTACATTAAGGGAATAAACACGGTTCACTTAAACATATATAAATATCGCCTAAAAATTTAAAACAATAAAAGACAAACAATAAAAATAAAAACGTTAGACAATAAAAAAAAGAAAAAAAGGACAAAAAGCCGAAGCTAAAATAAAATCAAAATGGCCGACGTCAACAAAAATTACGAAACAATAACACAAAGCTAGTTACAAAAAAAAATGGCCGACGTCAATAAACAAAAAAATACGTGAACGAAGACAGACGAAGCTAGACACAAAAAATAAAAAATGGCCGACCCTAAGCGAATTCGAACCAATAAAAAAAAGAAAATAAATAGATTAAAACGATTACAAGCAAAAAACACGTAAAAATTAAAAGGATTAAATAAATAAATTAATAAGAAATTACAGCGAAACACAGAATAACGAACAGGATGAAAATAAAGAAAATGACAATTAACACGGAAAACTAGAATGAAAAAAAAATTAAAAGGGGTAGAAATGAGAAGAAAAAACTGCGGAAATTACAGGAGAAAAAACGAAATTCAAAAAGTCAAATTAGATTAAAAAGAAAAATGAGTAAAAAATTAAAGGGAGTAAAAATTAAAATCAAATAGGAAAACTAGAATAAACAGAATAAAGAGTAAAAATTAAAGGGGGAGGGTGAAAAAAAAATGGAGAGTAGAAAGAAAAAATCAAAAACTTTTACAATAAGGTCGTAAAAATACAAATAAAATAAACAAACTTTAAACAAAATGCAGTTCCAAAGGGTAACAGGTAAAATCACACACAAAAAAAGGTCGAGATGTCCGCAAAAGTCCAAAAAATAACCAGAAACCAGCCAAAAACTGCTACGAGTGTGAAAGGAAGATCAGACTCGTGGCCTCCTGTTGACTGCCGTTGAAATTCCATGTGACCGCTTTTATAGCGTTTTTTTATGGCTTAACAGGCTTGAGAAACGAAGCGAGTATAATTAGGAGGGAAGCATTTTTATGGGACGAAAAATAGAGCACTTTAAATACTATTTTATTTTTCGACTGGAACACATGTGTCAGAAACATTTGTAAAGAAAGATAATGGTCATTTTGTGACGGGGCTTTGTCCCGTTCACATCCGGTTCTCGCTCTTGAGTATTTGCCTGTAAATCAGCCGAGATATGTCTTATTTTATTTTATAACATCTGCTTTTGTCTTTGCTTTACGTTCTTGTGTTGGAACCCTTCATTTCCAAATTCAAGCCAAATCCGGTCCTACATGGAATTTCCCTGTTCACTGGCGGATGTAGGGCGCCTTTCGTTTCAGGTGTGATTTTTGTATTTGTTGTTGTGTTTGAATGAGTGTGTTTGAGTGCTTGGGATGAATGAATGTTTTATATATTGTTAGAGTCCCACATTGATTTTGTTGAGTTAACTGATGTTTATGCTACATTTAAGAATTGTGTGTGTTTGCGTGTGTGTGTGGGGGGGTTATTACTAATATTATTTTATTTGGTTTCTTGTAAATAGTTTTTTTTTTCACATTGTAAATACACATTGGGGTTAGATTTTAAATTGTTGTTTTATTCCCCTCTCCCAACAGACAATGCATTGTACATACGGAGGCTAGTTAGGAATTCATGTACATTCTGAGGTATTAGAATGGTAAGTAAGAATGTGTTGTTTTCATGTAAGGAATATTGTTGTATATTTGGGTCAGTGTTTGTGGCTGGCTAAGTTTAATGTTAAGGCAGAAGAAGACTGTCTTTTTCCCCATTCCCCTTTTTGGTCTTGTGTCACATTTAATAAATATTACAAATAAATAATGCTCTTGGTATGTGAGATAAATGAGTAACATTGGACAGATAAAATATGAAGGAAATACCACTTTGTAACAAAAATAAAAATCAGTGTCAGTGTTTTTGATATGGGAATTAGCATACCCACATGATATGGGAATTAGCATACCCATATGATATGGGAATTAGCATACCCACTTGATATGGGAATTTAGTATGGCACACAACTTATGAAGTTTGGACATAAGGAATAACCACCCACTAGTTTTTAAAAGAATACATGGAGTAAAATAAACAGAAACTTGATTATTTTTTCATTTAATAGACAACAGTGATGTATGAATCATTTTCCATTGTCTGGGAATAGAGTGAAGTCCATCTGTAATTACATATGCTGCGTTTCTTTTCCTTCTAAATGGGGAACATAAGATAATACAATATGACTAGCTTCATTTCCATGTCATTACTTGATGATATCTCATGAAGAAAAGATTGTGCATTCTTGAAGTTGGTGCAAATCCAGAATGTGCTACAAGAAATTTTAGGATTTTTGGTTTAAATTAGCCAATCAACATATTTATTCTATGTTGGTCTTGGCATCATTCTTGCAAGTCCAAAATTTTGCATTATCTCCCTTATACCAGAGTTCACATTTTATTGTCTTTTTTTTTTTATCAATTAATTTTTTTTTTATACCATGAACTGAAGATTGCATTAAAATTTAATAATTAAAATAACCATCATGAAAAGATTTGAGAGACCAAATAAAACTCCTCTTCATGGCCAAATAGGATCTTTAAGAGTTTCAAATGACAGAACAAGTTTCAAAAAGCTGTAAATTGTTACTGTCTAGTTTTCCAATTATATTGGAAAAATCAAGCAGGGTGACACAAATTAAAAAGTGGGTGGTACTAAATCAGCTATTAAAAGTAGCAGGGATTAAATCTGATATTAATTTTTTTTAAAGTTATAACAAGCTCAGATTTATTTTTGCAATTTTAAATATTATCACTCAAATTGTTATTCATGAATAAAGCTAGTATGAAAGTCTTTAATATTGTCATTTGGTTTTGTTTACTTAGTTATTGACAATGTTATTGTTAAAAAAAAGTAAAAGATAAAAACTGTAGTTTTGGCTTTATTTACATAAAAAGACAACAGACATACGTACCGCTCTTCTGCTTTAGCGACACGCAGTCTTCGAGCTGCGATTCTTTCTTCAGAATTGCTGGAATTAATATTAGGCAAAGCCACTTCAGTCACTTGTTCATTATCCATCTTTTAGTTTTCTTTCGCCTTCCGATTTACCTGCTTGTTTTTAGCGTCTTACTGACTAGTGGTTACTATGGTAATATATATTTCGTACTCAAAATTATCTTGAAAGTATTTGCTATATAATATCAGTTGCTAATAAAATAAAATAGTATTTGATATAATAATGTACTCGTAAGCTGTACATTTTCTTTTAAAATAAATTCGAAAATAAATCCACTAGCATTTTTTTCTACCCATCAGCCATTGCGTGATTCGATCTTTCCGGTGTAGTAAGAATGGCGGTGAGTATTGTTTTTTTTCACGTCTCCGAAAATCTGAATAATCTCTTACTTCTAAGTTTGTAAATTGGTTAGTTAAGTTTTCAAAATCTTAAGAATTTGTTTCTATATCATATCAATACTTTTTTTTTTAGTTATCTTTTTTTCTTTTAGGACTTCTTATCCAAAATATATAGACATACCCATAATCGTAAAAACGTGTTTATAACTTTTTTTAAGGCCACGAGTGTTGGGAGGCAGCACTTATTTTAAAATGTGTCTTTGATTATCATTTATTAATTAATTAATTATATGTTACGAAATTATTTTATTCCGTAGTCTTTGTCATTGGTAGAAAGGATAAGTTTATTTTTCATTTTAATTTTCAATATCGAGCGCGATGTCTTTAGAGAAATGGCTGGTTGTGGACGGCATGGATATTTCTCAATTTTGATCATTAGAATTTTATAAGTTTATAAAAAAACTTGTTACATGTAGTTTACAGTGAATTTTACTAGTACTTTTCGTGGCACTGTTTTGTTATAATTTAGTAAGCAAAAAAAATATATATTTCGGCTTCCTGATGCACTATTCTCTGTCTTTCGGAAGAATATCTTGTAACTCGCCGTAACTAAAAAAATTACGAACGTCATACGAACGTTGCTAGATATTTTTTCCTTTTTTTTTTTTTTTTTCATTATTGCTCCATAACTTTTTTTTTTTTAATCTTTGTAGACATTTGATTATTTTTAACAATTTTTTTTTTTGTAATTAGTGTTTTCTCCATTTTAAATATAAAATACATATTTAAAAATATACTAATCGCTTACAGGAGACAAATTCTTTGATGGTATTCTTGCTTGCTAAAAAAATAGGTTAACGCGCTGCTTTTATTCAATGTTGATTTATTTTATTTTTAATTATACATTTCATAATTTCATAGTGTCCATTTTATATATTGAGATTGTCAGCCGAATACATGGTTTCATAGTAAAAATAGAACTATTGGAAGTTTTTTTTCCTTAATATTTTAATACTTGAAATTTATTCGCATTTTAACATGCAAAATATTTAAATATTACTTAAAGCAGTTATTTATTATCGCATCCAATTCGAGGGTCTAAAAATTAAATTTTCATTAGTGATAGTAATTGAAAAAAAGTCTCTCTCCTCGTAAAACCTTTTACTGATTCTTTTTTTTTATTCATTGTTGAACCTATGCAGAAAAATCTAAATAAGTGCTAAATTAGCACTTTGATTAGTAGTGATCATTAAACAAAATGTTAATTTTTTTTTTTTTTTTTTTCTTAAAGGACAAAGAAGATAAACGTGCTAACAATCAAATGCGACAACTTCGCATCCAGAAACTCTGCCTAAACATTTGTGTAGGTGAATCTGGTGATAGACTGACCCGTGCCGCCAAGGTGCTGGAACAACTTACAGGACAACAACCTGTTTTCTCTAAAGGTAAAATTCCTTGAAGAGCTTAGAATTCTGTGATTATCGTTTTAATTTTTTACACTATACCTCCCAAACATTAGCTAAAGAGGTTACATTACATGAGGAAAATGCCCAAGGCCAAAATATCAAAATGTTTATTATGAGACCTGGATTTTTGTAAGCCTTTTTAGTGACTTAGAATTCTTTTTTCTGGCGTCAACATGGGAAATTAGTAAGGGGAAATAGTTTTTTTTTCATATGGAGCTTTCAGAAATTAATGAAATTACTTTGGTAACTTTTTAACATGTTAACCCTCACACTTTCTCATTTAATTTTTATGAAATTTCGAGAAATTCTTTCTGTATCCTGGAATTTAAATGGTAAATCTTTTGGAGTTAAACAGGGCCACAAGTAACAGAAAATCTGCTCTGAATGGTAAAATAAAAATGCAATAAAACTAAGACATTTTTTAATTTTTCCAAGAATTGTCTTCATTTTAATTAGAATCATTTATAAACTTAAATTTTCTAAAATTCTGCATTTGTAACAACCATGTAATATTGGTATTTTAAAACTTAATCATAAATGGTAGAACTCGCTACAATTCAACAACCTCCAGTATTTTAGAAAGAATTTGGAATTTTTTGTGTGCATAATCATGTAAATTTTTTAAATAAAGATGTCCATAAAATATCAACAAATATGAGTGTACCAATATTGAATTTAAAATTATTGGTAATTTTCTCAAGCATCTTCGTAGTGTTATAGTCAATGTATCTAAAATTCAATAAAATATTAGAATGCTTAAAATATTTTAAATTAAGATTAATGGTTTTTTTTGATTTTTTTTTTTTTTCCTCTAAGTACAGGCTCATGTGTTTGGGTAAATTTCCCAAACATTAGTCTGTCAATAAATCACTCGCATCTTTTCTGTAATATTTTAAAGTAAAGGTAATGTTTCAGTTCACATTACACTTTAAATCAGCTAATCTTTATCAAAATAGTGTTTCAGAAAAGTATTTTTGAAAGAAAATTGTCAATATAGACAAATTCATCAATTTTATGAGTAGAAGAAAAAAGTTTACAGTCAATTTGAGATATACCAAAGTATTTTCAATATCTGTAGTATCAAACAGGTAATTTTTACAATTTTAAGCTTGAGTAAAACTAATTTAAAAACAGGCTCTGTTCATAAATTGATTTTACTGAAGCTTTTTTTAATCTTTATAGTTTTAAAGTTTTAGTAATATATAATTTCATGCCTAAATTCTTCAAACAAATACTTGAATCTATATGGTTTTAAATCCAGATCCTCCCCCCCTTTTTTTTCTTTGCATTGTGGTAGTGAATATAGACTTTTTGTTTGTCTGTAATTTTGCTATCATGGTGCTAAATTAATTCCATATTGCAACGCTGCACCAACTTTTAATGTTGACTCCAGTTACTCAATTTATGGAACAATACTGTCATTTTATTAATTAAAAATTATAGCCTCCAAGGTGCTTACTTGCTAATTAGAGAATAAATTAGGTGCTTTTATTTTACAGCCAGATACACTGTCCGATCCTTTGGTATCAGGAGAAATGAAAAGATTGCTGTCCACTGCACTGTTCGTGGGGCCAAGGCAGAAGAGATCCTTGAGAGGGGTTTGAAAGTGAGTTCTATTTTTAACCATTATTACAAATTTGTTCTTGATTTGTCATTGTACAATTACCTTATGGTTTCATACATTTAAAATATTGCCAGAATTCATCTTTCAAAAGTTTTGTCTTGAGTATAATTTTAAGATTTTTTAATGAATTTTTCTAGGTCAGAGAGTATGAATTGAGAAAAGCCAATTTCTCGGAGACTGGAAATTTTGGATTTGGAATTCAGGAACACATCGATTTGGGGATCAAGTATGACCCCAATATTGGTATTTATGGGATGGATTTCTATATTGTCCTTGGTCGTCCAGGTGAGGAATTTAACCAATTTTATGGCAGTTACTTCTATCATTATAAAATTTAATGTAAGGGAAACAATAAGCATTGGGGCATAGAATGTCTGCTATTGCATGCTCACATTTTGACTTATCCAGTGCAACATCATACCCATAATGCAACACTGCACCAACCATTTTCATGTTGGTTCCAGTTACTCTATTTATGGAACATTTTCATCTAGCCCTTAAAGCATTTACCTCTATCCTAAGCATTTATTTTGAAGAAATGTAGTAAATTTAAGTCTTAATTAATTACATTTTATTAAAATATTTCTTTAGGTACCTCCATTAATTTTTGATACCTATGGATATAAAATGAATATGTATATGAAACCCCCTCTCACAGAAGGGTATGGGTATGTCCTAGCTTATCAACATGTTCAAAGGGCAAACAGTATTTCTCGTGTGGCTATGCCTCTACTTTCAAAAACATCTTGCCATAGGACTAAAAATGTAGAATAAAACATTGATTTTATTAAGTGTAAATTTTAGAAAATTTAGGATAGTTAGTGCCATACATGATGCGTGTATGGGTGATCATGTCTTGTATGATTCATGACTAACTAAGCAGATTTTTCTGCAGTAAATTGTCAACCAAATCCATAGAACCCAATCTGTCCTGTTCAACCCATAACTGTAAGTGTGTGCCATGTGGTGTAATGGATAATGACTCTGCATGAGAAATCTGAGAGTTCAGTTTGAATTCCAGTCTGTTACATTCGCCTGTGCCTGAATACCCTTAGGAAAGGTATGAATTCATATCTTAGGGGCATCAGGTAAGGAACTTTTAAGAGGAAAAAAAAATGCTTTTGTAGTAATGTGCTGTGGTGAAAGAAATGACTTAACCCTGGAGATCGAAATGAGCACAGGCGTGCGTTGTGTACAAAGTGCTGAAAAGAAAATATGGCTGCTCTTGGGGGTGCAATTTATAAGTGTTTTTCTTGACTCTGAGACGGGATTTACGCATATGCAAATTCTGGCCTACTTGAGGAGACATAAAAAGCAAGGGTTTTTACGAATTACCTTTGCTAGTCTGACGAATGGATTGACAGAAAAAAGGTGAAAGGCACGACTGACTTTGTCAATTGAAAAGTTCCCAGTGTGTGGTGGTGAAGAAACAGATCCCTGGAATCTAGTTCCTCTAGGTGAATGAAGATGATGTTGATTCAGTCTGTCAGCGAACTCCACACTTGACCCCACCCCCCTTCATTTTTTTTTTTTTTTTTTTTTTTCCTACGGATTTTAGATATTTGCTCATTAAATAATCTCAATTATCTATCTGAACTTTATGATAAGTCCTTGAATTTTGTAGCAGCTATTTTCAATGTTATAAAATCTAATATAGAAAATACATGTTTGTTTTTGGTCAGTCAATCTCTAATCTCTAGCATTGGGGCACAGAATGTCTGCTATTGCATGCTCACATTTTGACTTATCCAGTGCAACATCATACCCATAATGCAACACTGCACTAACCATTTTCATGTTGGTTCCAGTTACTCTATTTATGGAACATTTTCATTTACTTTGAAACTTTTTAACATGTTACCGTCAGTATTTATTTTGAAGAAACTTAGTAAATTTTAGGTTTAATTATTTAAATATTTTTACTAATGCAGTAATAGATTTGCACATATGCAGATTCTGGCCTACTTGAGACATAAAACGCCAGCGTTTTTTTCTTTTTGGGGTGAATTACATTTGCTAGTCTGATGAATGGATTGACAGAAAAAAGGTGATAGAGATGTAACTGACTTTGTCAACTGAAAAGTGCCCAGTGTATGGTGGCGAAGAAACAGAGCCCTGGAATCTAGTTCTAGGCGAGTGAAGATGTTGATTCAGCCTGTTGGCAAATGCCAACCCAAAAGACAAACGCGCCACAATCTTGACGGCAGGCGGGAAGTGCCTTTTTAGCCACAGTGTTGGAAGCATCACGTTCAAAGTTGCCAACACAAATCCCCTTCAGACAGATGCGCTAAGGGTGAACAGCAAGCTATTGGGATTTGACCTCCTACTAGGAATGGATATCATTAAGGAATTAAGTGGTGTGCACGTCGATGAGTGAGGCAGGGTGCATTTTTCTGAGGCAGCCGTCACTTTGGGTGCTATAATAAAATTGGAAGAACCCAATTTTAATGCAGAATTCAATCAACACAACAAATCCTAGACGGTGGTGTTGTGAAAGTGGTCTGGTAATCAACCACTAGAGAAATTATGCAACAGAGTTTCGGAATACAACGTTCCTGCTAGAGCTTGAGCAGAATATGATAGGGAGTTACAGACATGGATCAGTAAAGGGTGGTTGGTGCCTTACACAGAAGAGGAATTGGGGCCCCCAAAGGGTCTTATCCCACAGATGGCAGTCATCCAACAGAATAAAGAAAAGGTAAGACCTGTGCTCGACTATTGAGAATTGGATGAGCATGTGGATGCATTCACAGCTCGTGCAGATGTATGCGCACAAAAGTTGAGAGAGTGGTGACAAGCAGGCTTGAACATGTCGGTGTTAGATCCTTGAAAGGCATATCTTCAAGTACATGTTCACTGATCGTTGTGACCCTATCAAATCGTGTTAATTAGTGGATGGATGTATTCTCTGACCTGTATGAGATTTGGACTTAATGTGGTATCATCCATCATGCAGGCAATTGTTGACACCATCTTAATGAAAGATGAACGCATACAAAAGGCAATATCTGCTTACATTGATGACATACGTGGATGAGTGTCGTGCCTGCAGCATGTGTGAAAGAATATCTTGACAGCTTGAACCTGGGAGCAAAGAACTGGAAAAGCTAAAGATGGTGCGCAAGTGCTTGGTCTACAGGTCTGGTGGGAGCATCACACACTCTACTGGAAAAGATGGAACAGGATCCTGGATATGCTTTGTGTCGTCACATGACGCAACGTATTTTCATTATGTGGCAAGCTGGTTGGACATCTTCCTGTGGGTTGATGGCTTCATGTGGCTGTGGCCTTCATCAAGTGGAAAGCATCCGAAATTACTGCTGTTTGGGACGACAAAGTTGACGATGCCCCTCTCAACACTATGATCAAGGAGGTTCTTACCCAGCACGTGGCAACTAGTGTGCCAATGGTCAAGACTTTGGTGTATGCATCAACGCAAGTTCTCTTGTTACTGGTGTGTTGTTAGAATGTGTTGAGGCCGTGGTAGAGGACGCCTGTTGGTCATGGCCAGACTTCTTACATATTAACCTAGCAGACCTTGATGCCATTAATTAATGGGTGAATTTGGCAATCCTCTGGAAGGCGACTACCTTGCACCTGTTCAGATTCCGCTTGTGTCCATAAATGGGTGTCAGACACCCTCTTGGAGAGAGCCAGAGTGCAAACAAAAGCAGGGAGCAAGATGCTCATCTGACGACGGCTCGACTCTGATGAATATGCGTTATCGATGAATGTGACCTCTTTTTAAATCTAGCCAAAACAAAGCAGATCGATTGACAGGGGTGCCTTAGAGGTGGATTGATGCAATTTGGAGGAACACTGAACCTGTACAGCCTACTTGCACTGCATCCGTGAGCTCGGTTGGGTCTGACAAAATCAGAACTATACGCCAACAGGGCGGCCATCCTGGTGTGAGGTGGACACTCTTTGTAAAGCAGATTAACCCTTCAGTGTCTAAGGTGACTGTGAGAACCGTCGTCAGGGAGTGTGAGGAATGTCGGTCAATCGACCATCACCTGTGCACTGGCCATAGGGTGCTCTGGATGTTGTTGAGACATGGCAACCCATTTTTTTTTTTTTTTTTTTATTTGATTGAGGCCCCACTCTGTTTACCATCTGGTGACGTCTCCCCCGGCAGGATGCAGTAAGTGTGATCAGCATGTTGAAAGCACTGTTTTCCGAGCAGTGCCTCCCGGCTGAAATTTTGACAGATAACAACACTGCCTTTCACAGCAGCTTGTTTAAGAATTTCCTGAACGAGTGGGGAGTCCGACTCCTGTTCTGTTGTTCATGCATTCCCTCAGGTAATGGCATCATCGAGCGATGCCACATGACTGAAAAGGATCGCCGCCAGAAAACAGTGCTATATCAGAAGTGGTGTATTGGCACAACATCACTCCAAAGGATTACATATCCCCCCCACTACAGCACCAGCCAATATGATTCATCGCTATAGCATACGGCTGAAAGGGATTGATGGAATGTCAGCACCTGCAGCTGACCAACGACAGGTTATCTTCAAAAGGGGTAACCAACTGTGGGTAAAGGTCCCCCATGGGCAATGCATGACCAAATAGAAGGTTGGGTGTGTTGCTGGAGTTACTAGCATGCAGAATGTCTTGATTGACAGAATGCCATGCCATGGTCCATGATTGGACCAGGCCCTCTGACGTGTTTTCAGAGCATAGATACAGCTAACACCTTATGATGACTCATCTGACGAAAACCCTGTGGCTATGCCCCTGTGAAGAAGCATGCAATGCAAGAGACTGCCCCCTGGTTGTATCATGAGATCGGGGGAGGTGTAGTAATAATGTGCTGTGGCAAAAGAAATGAGATCGAAATGAGCATGGGCGTGTGTTGCGTACAAAGTGCTGAAAGGAAAATATGGCTGCTCTTGGGGGTGCAATTTATAAGTGTTTTTCTTGTCTCTATGAGACGGGATTTACGCATATGCAAATTCTGGCCTACTTGAGGAGACATAAAAAGCAAGGGTTTTTACGAATTACGTTTGCTAGTCTGACGAATGGATTGACAGGAGAAAAGAACGTGAAAGAGGCGCAACTGACTTTGTCAACTGAAAAGTGCCCAGTGTGTGGTGGTGAAGAAACAGATCCCTGGAATCTAGTTCCTCTAGGTGAATGAAGATGATGTTGATTCAGTCTGTCAGCGAACTCCACACTTGACCCCCCCCCTTCATTTTTTTTTCCTACGGATTTTAGATATTTGCTCATTGTATAATCTCAATTATCTATCTGAACTTTATGATAAGTCCTTGAATTTTGTAGCAGCTATTTTCAATGTTATAAAATCTAATATAGAAAATACATGTTTGTTTTTGGTCAGTCAATCTCTAGCATTGGGGCACAGAATGTCTGCTATTGCATGCTCACATTTTGACTTATCCAGTGCAACATCATACCCATAATGCAACACTGCACCAACCATTTTCATGTTGGTTCCAGTTACTCTATTTATGGAACATTTTCATTTACTTTGAAACTTTTTAACATGTTACCGTCAGTATTTATTTTGAAGAAACTTGGTAAATTTTAGGTTTAATTATTTAAATATTTGTACTAATGCAATAATAGTAAACTACTCTATTTGTATCACCATATTGCCAGGCTGTTATACATTGTTGATTATAAAGCACTGTATTTTAAAGAGATGCTTAGGTGGGGCATGGGCAAAAAAGATTGGGAGCCACTGGTTTAGAGATTTTTTTCTTTTGAATTTGCAATCCATATGTATCAAATTGCTGCTACTTTTTAAATTTTTACAAAATAAGATTGTCTAAAACTATTAATGTTTCACCATATATTTTGTATGAATTGAATCATTACAAAACATTTAGTAAATTTATGCATCTCTTTCAGGTTACAATGTGAGTCTCCGGCGACGGAGAAAAAGTAAAATTGGCATCAAACACAAAGTCACAAAAGAAGAAGCCATGAAATGGTTTCAACAGAAGGTAAGTGAATTTTTATTTTGCTGGTTTAATTATAAAATTTCAGATAAAAAAAATTTTGAGTGAATGGAAATATATACTTTCTAAATTTTCAAATTTTTCTACAAAAGCAATGGTTTAGTTTAATTCTGTAAAATCTCTCTTCGTGCATTGCAATGAAAATACTTTAGACAGCTTCTAAGTTTTATATGTAAGTTTTAATATTACAAAAAATGACTTTCTGTTAATTAACCTTTTTTTGTTTTTCTCTCTTTTTCATTGCAGTTTGATGGTATTATCCTTCCTGGAAAGTAAACTGATAACTCTTTAAACTGACTGAAATAAAACCCCTTAGCGTGAATCCGTTTGTTTTTGTTAAACTTTTTGCTTATCAAAATTCAATAGTGAATTATATATTTTACTATTGAATTCCAATAAATAACCTTTATTTATTTTAATGTAATTGATTGTTCAAAACTTCTCTGCTTGGGTCACTAGCTAGCAGTTTTAAATTTGTGCATTATGACAATTTAAAGGAGTTTGATATGACAGAATAATACATTTTCCCTTACCACTCAGAGAATCCCTACCCTGAAGTGAGTAATAAAAGAGATAAAATTGTTTTGGAAAAAAAAAAAAAATTCTGACAATTGTAAGATTTCTCCCAAAAATTTAGACTTCCTTAATTGAAAACTGGTGTAGCCCCTTATTAAATAGGATTAGAGTTTTTAGATATTTTTCTTTTTCAATCTGTGTATATTATGTTTGAAAATTAATAAACTTGTGTAATACATTATAACATTATTAAATAAATTTAAATATATATAGCATTTACAATTCACTACGCTACATTAGAACTTATTTTATAAACACGTTTAGCAAGTACTTGATAGATGAAAATGCTATCTGGGTGTATCTTTGTAAAACTTAGTCTGTATGGCTGGAAAATTGTCATGACTGGTGGTAAATAAATACAGTGTAACCCGGATATAAGAGATTTTCTCTGGTCCCGTCCTCCCCGATATAAGAGAGTTCATTTTGAGTGACAGTGTGATGTCATAAATCGGTCAAACAGAGGTCAGTTAGAGAGAGTGAAGTTCAATGACTTAATCTTGACTAGTCTAGAGACACAGTGTGTCCAATCTGTGTCTGTAGGAGACACCCTCTACCTTGATTTTGCTTTGTGTGTCTAAGGGTAGCTAGCTTTTTTTGCCGACTTTGCTTGTCGTTGCATTTACTGGACAGCACTTTCACTTTACCCACTGTTCTGTTGAGTCAGAAGTTTGTTAATTTTGCCACTGAAAACCGTTTGCTTGCGATCATTGCGATTAGTGATGTTGGCGTCTCAACGAAAAACTCTGAGCATTTCTGAACAGTTGGAGCTCATCGACGATGTCAAAGTGAAGAAATTCAAATTGGCCGCTACAGCCAAAAAGTACAGAATCAGTTATTCAACAGCCGCAAAAATTCTCAAGAAAGAAGACTATCTCAGATCTTGCATGCAAATGAACGGAAACACTAATCGCAAATGAAAGTGCCAATCCGTGCACAAGTACGTTAACGAAGCGCTTACACAATGGTTTACGCAAACATGTGCTCATGGAGCTACCGTCACCGATCACGTCATCAGGCAGAAAGCATCACAACTGGCCGTAAATCTTGAAGTTGATTTTGAACCAAGCAATGGCTGGCTCATGCACTTGAAGCAGGCCAATAATGTTTTGTTCAAAAAATTTCATGGCGAATCAACGTCAGCAGATCACGGTTCTGCTAATGAATGGGTGACAAATGTTTTGCTGCAACTTTTTCGTGGATATGATCCAAAAGATGTTTGGAACTGTGATGAAACGGGAATTTTCTACAAAGCCATGCTGTCTGGATCTTTGTGATTTTCCGGCGACGAACAGTCAAATGGGACAAAAGTTCCCAAAGACTGACTCACGATGCTTCAGTTCACAAACATGGACGGCAGTGAAAAGCAAGCTATAGTTGTTGGTAAGTCAGCAAAACCACGGCAAACAGATTTTGACGAATTTATCAGCTTTGACGACTGTACACAATGTTATGGAGAACTGACTGACACGGACATCACACATGGTATAAAATCGGATGATCAAGATTTTGACGAAGATGCTGAAAGCGTAAGTTCTGAAGTTTCTGAAAGTGACAAACCAGTGCCAAATTCTCTGGCTGCATTGAATGCGCTTGAAACTCTGACAGCCTACTTTGAAGCAAAAAGCAGTAATCCTGATGGCGCATTGAAAATGATTTATGGACTGTATGAAAGTGTTCATGATGTTAAAAAGAGATTTCTGTACAATCAAAAATGACTGACTTTTTTAAGAAAAAGTAATTTTTGATTGAATTATTTTGAAAACTGATTGAAAATGTATTTTTGTCTTTAAATAAACTAGTGTTCTGTACGTACAAAGCATATGAAGTGTTCCCATACTTACCTAAACAAAATAGACCAAACCCGGATATAAGAGACTTCTTCTCCAGTCCCGACAACTCTTTTATATCCGGGTTACACTGTAGATGCATACTGGTTTGCCATGGTTACATATTTTGAAAGGCGAGGAAGAAACAAATATAATTTTGAGAGTTGCCTAGAATAAACTGAAACCAAAGGAGGCATCCATACTTTATTTCAATAAATTGCTTCCTTTTTTTTTTTTTTTTTTTTAATGACCTTTGCATTTTGAAAATTTATAATATGGTAAATACTAAAATTGGTATAAATTATTAATGTTTGCATTAAAGATGTTTCACATTAAAGCTAACTTATAGGCCTGGTTTTGTTAATTTGTTTTAAGTCTTATAATTTAATATCCCAATGAACTAAAATAATGTAAAGCAGGAAATACATCATTGTTTGTCTTATTACCAAATACATTTATCATATACTCATCATTTTGTATCCTGAGCTGCTTTTAAAAGGAACCCATTGGGTTTATGGGTTGTCTAGTTTTTGAATAAAGCCTTCAGTTATATCTATTGAAAACAATATACAGAAAATAAGAATTGAAGTTTAGCGAAAACAAATTCATGCTAATGTTAAAAAATGTAAAGGATTATTGCATATTAGGCAAGTATGTATCATGCATAAAGTAAAAAAATCCCATTTATGGAGTTACTGTATAAAATGAAGGGTCTACTCCAATTTTTGGATTGAACCTAGAGTAGACAAAAATGTCCTGATTGAGACTCGATATGTAAAATTCACTACCATAGATTCTAAGGATCAAAATAGATTTGAATTTTAAAACAATCTTTCTCTGGATTTATGCAATCAAAGTTTTTAATTTTTGTGGGATAAAGATATGGGGGGGATTTATAGTTGAGCAAATAATAAATCCTGAATTCAACTGACTATGCCACTTGCCAAGCTTTAAAAAGATTTGATTATTAATTTTTTCTCAAAGTGAGGGATTGTAAATTTTTGTCAACTAGGAATCTTGTAGCTCTTGTAAAATAAATATTTCAAACTTTTTTTTTTTTTTTTTTTTTTTCACAAGGTAAATTATCAAATGACTAAACAACTTATTTTTTATTCTATTGCTAATGGTTTACTTTTTGTAGATTAGCATTCATTTGTCCTTACTCAAGCCATGGCATTTAGCATTGAAAAAATATTGATTTAGAAGCGGGGCTCCTATTGATCCCAGGCTGTTATCAGCTATTAAACTTAACTGTTATTTACAAATATCAAGTTTGAAGTTCCTGACTAAAAAAAAAAACTAGGCTTATTTTAGACTTTCGATATTATGAGAGCCTATCTTAAATGAAGCAGCACTATTTTTTGACTGAAAAATGTCATGCTTGAATAAGGTCTGATTGATACTAATCTATTACCCCCTCCCCCCTTTTTTAGTGTATCTTTTGGTAATTTCTTAATATCAAAATGGGGAAAAATTGCCAAACCTAGGAACTGACCAGTATCATGAGTGATGGTGGGTCTCTGGCTATATTTCTTTTGCACTAACCTTGCAGCTTTCCATGGAAAAAATGTGCAACTTTTGCCATGAGTAGTAGGGGTAGTTAAAAAGTATGGTCTTTGTGAAAATTTCTATTTGTAGTTCTGTTCATTAAAACTATTATGTTTAACTTTACAGGAAATGTGCAACAGTCAGTTTTTGTGACCTTCATAAAACATGACTAATCTAGATAGCTGAAATATGTAGCAGTAAGAATTCAAGTGTGTAATTCGACCTTTTCAAGTGTAGTAGAACTCCAAACTGCATAGAATGCTGCACAAAATGTGTAACATAACCAGGTCTGCATTCAGTTGTTTTAGCCTGGCATGAATTAATAGATTAGCTGTAACTTTTCTTTGGCCATCTCATCTGTCAAAGTATTAAAAGATAAATCACAAAATTTGTGTTTCTTAAATTGATGACTATTTTCTTTCTACATGCATGTGTGCACCAGTTTCAGTCCATGAAACTTCTTAATATCTGTGGAAACCCTGGGCAGTAAATCAAATTTAAGTTAGTTTGAAAAATGAACAATTGCGATATAAAAATAAAAAAACTCTGAGGCCCTGAACTCTACCTATATCTCCAAGAATTTTTTGATGTATTCATTTCATCTTGGTAGTGTTTTTTCTTTTTTGACATTGAGCATTTTGTATTTAGATTTTATGCCTTTTGTTTTATCTTTTTTATGCATGCTTTCTATGTCTGCTCTGCCTTGTTTCCATTTTGGCACACTTCTCACTGAGCTGTTACCCATCATTAAAGACTTTCACTCTACTTAAAGGGTGTCAATTTGATGTGTGGTAGACTGACTTAATATATTAACTTAAATTTCTATTATTGCAGTTCTTTGACACAACTGCTTATGGATATTTCTGCTGCATTTAATGTTATTAAAGGCATAAACCAGAGTTGGTTTATGATTACATTCACTTTTTTACTTTGCAATTTCAAGACCTTTGAGGTTTTTGAGTGCAGATTTGAACCATAAAAAAACTTCTTGTCTCAAGTCAGTATTTACATAAAAAATCAAATAAGGAAAATCTACTTACAATGTTAGAAATTTTCTTTTTTATTAGTAAGATTGAAGAACTTTTTTAAAAAATATACTAATAAAGAATATTCTTTTTAAACAAGTTATGTAAATTAAATTTATGTTCAAATTTATATTTGGTTTTAAGCTAAAATTTGTGGGTGGGGAGTGTGCATATAAATATGAAAGTTACAATGTTTTTGATTAATGTTAAAACTTTCCATTTTCTGAGGCATAAAAAAGTGTACAATTCTCTGTTTTAAAAAATGCATTCTTCTTTTATGTGAGGTAGAAGCATGTGTTTT